CGTATTTTGCCTTGCTTGTCATATGATCGCTAATTGATGATCAAATTCGAATTTGTTTTCATCTCTTTTGTGTTTTGTCTTCAGCAAATTGTATAAGTCGATAAAGATGGTAGGAGGCATACCTGTCACTAAATCATTCGATCCGAATGTGAGTCACCCTTTCATGTCCAACACGTTCAAAAGGAGGGACCCAAATGTGCATTTTTATCTCCCAATCGAGTGCCCGTCTCATAAGAACTGCACGGATGGATCGTGTCCGCTTGCACATACGAAGCTTGAGATGATGTTCCATCCAATAGTGTACAAGACCCGTAAATGCAAGATGTCGATAGGCGGCCTTTGTAAATTTTCAAGGCAGTGCACTTTTTACAACAACGATTCCGAACGTATGGCGGCCCAATTGTTGTGGCTGGTTTGGGAGAAGACGTGGGACCTTTGGAGGACCAATATCGAGATTGTGCTTGGTGCTCACAACAAACTGAACGGTCCAATTACCAAAAATCTGTCAATGGTGAAAAACTACCGAGGTAACATGAAGCAATTTTTGAATACCATTAACGGCACCGACAATGGAAAGGGTCTTTTGGATGGTAGATTGGATTCCATATTACGTTCTCAATTTTCTGCATCCCACGGCAACAACGGTTCCGAGGGCGCCCTGAATTTTTGAGCCAGTATGGTGTTGTCAAACAACGGAGTCCTTAGTTCACCTGTAGATGTAGCCTTAAAAATTAGGAAAATTTTGTTTGTAGATTACGTTGGTAGTCATGCTTTCGACCGACCCGATACCAGTAGCTACAATTCCCTACTCCTGTAACGCGAAGAATGCGCCAATAAGCTGTTCCGAAGCCGCTGTTGGAAGCTGCGTATGACGCGAATATACATGCATCGCATATTACTAAATGTCATAGCAGCTTGTCCATCCGTTTATACTAATATGTTACATGAGCCCGTATCATTGCACAGCATAAGGCTTCGCAGGTGATACGGCACGCTTCGGATTGTTTTGCAGGATGTTAGTTTTCGTTTTGTTGTCGTAAATTTCTCTGTTTTTTATTGGTATGCAGCAAGCAATATTGTTGTGGATTATTTCTTCCACTGGGATTGCGTGTGTGTTTTCCTTCTTTATGGAAACCCGGTGTCGAAAGGTTTAATATAACTTGATGATGTCATTTGAAATGGTGAATTCTAAGATTTCCTTTGCCTCATTCTCGAATTTTTCGGTGAAGGCTGTGACCTCGTTGGGTCTTGCGATTTGTTCGCTTTAGTGGGTTTTTGACGAAAGCAGTCTGTACGCTAATCCCATCATACTTGATGGTTCTTGTGTGTTGCCATCTGCTGCGCATCTCATTCACGGAAGGGTTTAGCCTTAAATTGTTACCACGCTGCAAAGCGCCCAAAACTAATATACATTACCCGCCTCGCTGTAACTTAACCTAAACGTAGTAATTATGCAGTTTTATAGCAGTTGACCTTATTGGTGGACGTTTTATATAATTAAGTGGTGCAATTTTATCGTTAGCCATCTTTCAGAACTTGTGAAAGTTACGATGGAAGATTTTACGTCCGGGTTCCCTCCTCCTCCATTTTTTTACAAAAATTATTCGTTTAATGACGATAGTGATGTAATTTCGACGGTGTGTGGACCTGCGAATTTGTCCACCGCAACTTGTGGATCCGATGCGGCTGAGGATGGGAATGTAGACCTGAGCGGTCTGGTTTCGGGTCCAAGCCATCCTCCACCGCCCAAAGGGTCATGGTTTTGCTTTGGCATTGAAGAGAAGGTATGGATTCCGTGGTTACTTGTCGACGAATCCATTTTCAGCTTACGCCTGATGCCCATGAATTGGATTCGGAGACCCTTATAACCGTAGCAGATGCCGACCCGGATCCACGAGTACACTTTAAGGTGTTGTATGGAGACTTTATGGATTCTCTATTATTGTATTTGGGTCGTTTGAAGGACGTACGTGAGCATATTGTGTTTGTTACGCTTTGTTAGATGGACCCTGATTCCGTTTCTGATATCAAGCGTTTTCTTAAGGTTTGTTGACTAACTAGCTTAAATTCATTGTAACGGTGCCACATATCTCCTCCCGATTGATACACGAAATGTAGATTTATATGAATCTTCAACATATGCTCTCCTCATTCTCTCAGAGGAAGGCAGAGGACGATGTCATTCGAATGCTGAGGTAAGTGGTTACTTGTTGAGGATAATTATAAATGAGTTGATATGTTCTTCATGGATTACTCAGAGACCAACTAAGACGTCGACGCCACTATATCGACTCTCTAAAGGTGTATGTTTACTACTCTGCGATTAAAGCTTTTGTAGCGTCTTGGTGAATATTAACAAATTAATATTGGATTCAAACTAAAGCAAATGCTTTTCTGAATATTTTTTAGTGATGCTTATCTCTGTGGTCATGCTTCGTGTAGCATGGGAATGATGTATTAGGTTGGTAACAATATATGTGAATATCGACTCTGTGTGCGGCATTCTAGCGCCATATATCCTTTTTGTATATCGGTTTAGTACAATTTGTATCATAGAAAGTACTACTCACCTTTCCTAGGTTTGTCGATTAAACATTACGTAGTGTAGCACAATCGTGCTGAAACTTCTGTGATGCCAATGTCGATAATATGGCTCATTTGGGGTTAAAAAAGGAACTATTGTGTATGCTAATGTAGAATAAGGTATCTCAAATTTCAAGATAGTCTTATGTGTTTTGTCGCAGTTTGGCGTATGTATTTCCCCAAAAATTGCAACGTGACACTTCTCGTCCCCCGAATATGATAACGACGAACATAAGTTTCTGTTGCTTTGTGTCGTAGTTACAGCCTCATTTTACGCTTTTTATAATGTGGTTGCCTCTCTGAAATGAACCGAGCATTCCAGACTTGGCGTACTATTGCCGTACTTCTGCACGGCATATTAGGTCGAAAATAGGCGATATTTTGCAACACTTGCTCGTTTTAGCATTTTTGAAATATAGTCATCTTAGTTCCATATTACGTCTTCTGGAGATAAAGGCTTGCACCTTTGTATCACAAATAAACGATAAAGCAAAGACTCCAATTAGGGAGGGGAGACCAGCAAGCACATATAACCGTACAATGCCTCTTTACTTGTGATCAGTCGTCAAACTAGGCAGCACGCTTTCTCATCACCGTCGACAACACACTATTGCTGCCCAACAGAGGAATAACAGTGACTTGATATAAGCTCTAATATGCCGAAAAATGCAGCGTTTCATTTAATTCGTCGCAGATGCGTCATGACGACCTTCTCTTGATAGTCTTGATTTTGGATTTGCTCAGCCTCATCGATCAACGCATTGGTTGATACTTAGCTAAGGGTGATTTCTAAACGTTGCCATAGCGTTAAATGAAGTGCTTAAATTAGTTCCTTGCCTGCTTGTTGATATGGAATTGCCATTCATCCATTACATGTTACACTCGTCAATCCTTCCGTATTTTGCCTTGCTTGTCATATGATCGCTAATTGATGATCAAATTCGAATTTGTTTTCATCTCTTTTGTGTTTTGTCTTCAGCAAATTGTATAAG